AACCAGGCCTCTAAACCTGGGCTGTCTAATATGAGAGCCACATGGGATCATACAAACTTAAATTAATTAAAGCTGAATAAAATTGCAAATTTTCTTCCTCAGTCCCACCCTAGCCACATTTGAAGTCCTTAGGTACCACGTGGGGCTATTAGCTACCATACAGGACCATGCAGATTTAGACAGCTCCCTGTGCTCTAATGAAAAGCACATTTCTAATGTCTTGAGTGAGACCAATCCCAGCTGATGTGATGGTAAAAGGACAGCATGAATTTCAGTTGGCATAATTTATAACAGACTGTGAATGGGAATAGCACCAAGCATTAATTATATTTTTAAGAGTATTTTGATTTTGTTAACCAGAATGAAACTTGGGCCCCTCGTTCAGATCACCATCCCTGCAATACACACCTCCTCAACACATGCAAACAGGGGCCTTTCTGGAGCCATTTGTTGCTAGAAGTTCTTCTATTTCTTTTATAAAGATCTCTTCCATGCCTTAACCTACAACTATATCTAGTGCCTTTTGCTTCTGTCACTGGATTACTGAAAATTTTCTTTTCCTATACTATGCAGCCTAATTCTCTATCACAGCTAAACAGGGTGAGGGGAGAGGGCAAACTGGAACACAGTTTGACTTTCCTGTCATGGAATTCTCGTTTGTTTTTCAATGAACCTAGTTTAGCTTTTTATAAATAAGCTGGTAGATGATGATGACTGTCATGGTTTGAATATGGTTTGTCCCTGAAAGGCTCATGTGCTGGAAATGTGGTCCCCAGTGTAACCATATTGAGAGGTAGTAGGACTTTTAAGAGGTACTTGGATCATAGTGTTTCTACCCTCATGAAGAGATTAATGCAGCCTTGAAAGTGGACTAATTACCACGAGAGCAGTTATTATAAAGCAAATTCAGCTTCCTCAACTCACTTTCTGCTTCCTCCATTCTGTACCTACACTTCCACACACCTGCTCATCTACACATGCCTGCTTCCCACTTTTCTGCCATGAGTTGACATGGCATGAGGCTCTCATCAGAAGCTAAACAGATGCCATGCTCTTAGACTCCAAAACTATGAGTAAAAGAAAACCTCTTTTCTTTATAAGTCACTCAGCCTTGGGTGTTTTGTTATAGCAACATAAAACTAAGACAATGATGACAATGGATTCATAAGCATCTTACTTTCTACCCTTTAAAGCACACATTTTATTTTGAGCCATGAAGTATTTCTACAGAAATATATTTACAAACAATACAATGAAATTGATCAACACATAATATGTTCTGGTTCTGATTAAAGAATAAACCCAGTAAATAGTGTTGTTTCTATTCCAGGAGCAAAAGATCTCAGGTCATTCTTGGGGCTCACTCAATTACCAAGCATGAGACAGAAAAGCAGATAATGTCTGTCAAGAAAGAGTTTCCCTACCCATGCTATGATAGATACACACATGAAGGTGATCTTAAACTTCTACAGGTATGTGCCTTTGATCATGTTCTTTTGTTTTAGAACCCTCTTCAATATGGCCACCTTCATAGAAGCCTTTCCTCAGTGCCTCTACTGTATAATATCATGCAAGGGGGTCACCGTGGGCTGGGATAGAATTTCAGTTAAAAAAGTCAATGTTTGTCAGGCACAGTGGCACACACTGTAATCCTAGCAGCTGAGGAGGCTGAGGCAGAAGTATTGCAAGTTCAAGTCCATCCTCAGAAATTGAGGTGCTAAGCAACTTAGCAAGATCCTGTTTCAAAATAAAAAGGGCTGGGTATTAGCCTCAGTGGTTAAGCATCCCTGGGCTCAATCCTTGGTACAAAAAAAAATGTCAATGTTTATCTGTTTCTATTAACTCATTATGCTTGTCATCCAACAGCTGAAGAAACGTGCAAAAATTAATAAAAATGTGGCTATCCTTCAACTACCTGAAAGGGGGGCCGATGTGAAACCAGGAACCGTGTGTCGAGTTGCAGGGTGGGGCATGGTTCACAATAAGTCACCTCCGTCAGATACTTTGAGAGAAGTCAATGTGACCATCATAGACAGAAAAATCTGCAATGATAAAAATCACTATGATTTTAAACCTGTGATTGGACTGAACATGGTTTGTGCTGGAAGCCCCAGTGGTGGAAAAGATTCATGCAATGTAAGTAAAATAAGATCTCACACATTAGCTATGGAGTAAGGCATGCAGATACAATGTAATGGCCTGCTTTGTCTTGTCACAACTTCTACAGGGTTTTAGTGATTTTTCAAAGAATTTGATAAAACCCCAGTGAAATATATTGATGTTCTCAGCTTAAATGAGCCATTGAAAATAAGAAGTTCTCTGCTAGTGCATGGTTGACCTACTACATCATCCTGGTTTTGTATCAAAAACCACTAAGAAGCAATGCTTTTTTTCTCATTTTTCATATTACCTTAAATAGATCTAAACTTGAAGATATATACAACACTGAGGAGAGCTTAAATCAGGACTCCTCAAAGGCCTTGGGTCTCCTCTCCATCCTCAGTACCACCCCAAAAGTTCCTCTGTCATTTAACCTGAGCGATCTTGAAAGCCTGTCATTCCCAAGCCTGTCTGAGGACCTTAGGCTAAACCTCGGAGCTTCCTAGAACTGAGTAAATTCCCAGCAAACAACTTCCAAGTCTGAGCCACACCACAGAAAATGTAAGCTTCTATCCCAAGGTCCCCTGAGAAAAAGAGGGACAGACTCTGTTTAAAGACAGGAACAGAAAAAAAATACTTTCCAGATTTTTAAGCTTAGGTACTGGTTTGTCATTTCCCACCTTTCACCAAGACCCTAGGAACTCTCAGAAGTGTGTGCAATGCATGACTGGAGAATTACCAGACACTGAGAGAGCCAGAGGTCTCCGTCTCCCAGGTACCATATCCTGCCTTCAGGACCAAGGCTAGCCAGATCCCAGGGAAAGATGGCATTTGTCTTTAGCACTCTTCTGTACTCTCTTCTTTAGCCTCCCTCCCACGTACTTCAACATACTCCACTTTGGGCACCCAGGAACCCAGAACTTCCTACTTTTGGATCTCATATACCACATCCTGAAGCTACAGCAGTCTCCCCAAATGCTAGTCCCCTCCTACCAGTCAATCCCTACCAATGGCACTTAGCAATCCCACCCTACTCTCTCAATACCCTGGTCTGCTCATTGATAAGTTAAGCATAAAAGACTAATTCTGCAAATTCCAGGTGCTATAACAGGCAGGGGAAATCAATCTATTTAGGGAGGAATCCAATTTCTCAGATGGTTCCTTATTTTATGCAGTCATAAAACCAAGCTTCCAAAAAAGGATTTTTGTTTTGTTTTTGTGTGAAGACAGTTGTCTGCTAGAGGAACCAGAAAACAAGGCTTTTATTCTTTGCCTTATTGTATCATCTGCATTTGAAAACGTATCCCTTGAGTCACTAAGTTTTTAGGGGAGATGACAAATAGGAGGGGGCCTGGAAGCTACTATTTGTGCTAGAAGCAGAGAATCAACCTCAAAATTTCCATTTTCATTTTATTTATATACAGTTTTAAAATATTAAAATAATTCAAAGCATTTTGATTTTTTAAGCATTAATTTTCAGTTAAGTCAAGGTTGTTCTTTTTAAATATTTATTTTTTTAGTTGTAGCTGGACACAGTATCTTTAATTAATTTATTTTTATGTGGTGCTGAGGATCGAACCCAGGACCTTGCCCATGCTAGGTGAGCGCTCTACCGTTGAGCTACAATCCCAGCCCAAGGTTGTTCTTACCTCTATAATAAATGCTGTAGCATTTCCTCCATTTCTCTAGTCGTGTTTCACAAACTGACCCCAGTCCCAACCCCTCTTGTCTTCCCCCAGGGAGATTCTGGAAGCCCTTTGCTATGCGAGGGCATTTTCAGAGGCACCACTGCCTTTGGCCTTCAGGGGAGATGTGGAGCCCCTCAAGGGCCTGGCGTCTACACTCTCCTCTCAGAGAAACACCTCAACTGGATAAAGAAGACTATGAAGGGAGAAGTTTAGGTGATAGTAATTTATTTCACTTGCTGTCACTTCCTTAATCATATTGCAAATAAAATCAACTTGTATGACTGTTTCTCTCCTACAATGTTAGTGGGTTTGAATGTGTTCCCAAATTTCATGTGTTGGAAAGCTCCAATGCAACTGGATTGGGAGCTGTGGTCTAATAAAAGGTGATTGGGTTATGAGAGCTTTGCCCTCACGAATGGATTACTGTCATTATTATGGGAGTCAGATGATGACCATGAGAGTGGGTCTGTCATAAAAGCAGCCCCCTCTTCTTTCTTGGTCTCTTGTGGGTATCACTTTCACTTTCTGCCATAGGGTGACACCATGTAAAGACCCTCACCAGATGCCAGTGCCATGCATTTGGACCTCCCAGCCTCCAATACCATGAGCTAAATGAACTCATATTACTTATAAGTTACCCAGTTTTGTGTATTTTGTTATAGCAGACTAAAACATGGAGAAAAAGGAAATGCTACAGAAGAGCTATTTTAGAGGAAATAATATGCACACTTAATATAACACATAGCATGTAGGAGGATTTTAATAAGAATTTTTCAAGTGAATGGGTTGAGTTTGAGCTAAAGATTGAACTCTTTCAAAAAGGAAATATCTAGAAGCAGTAAGAAATATGAATTTGGAACTTAAGGGAAAAGTCGGATGGGAAAGAACCAATGTTTGCTATAGATATTATTCTGACTTCAGCAGTGAAAATAGATCTTTAAAAAGGAAGAGATAAAGAGAAGGCAGAGAAGGAGGAAGTCTGGGAGGAGGGAAGAGAAGGAAGGAGGGAGAGGGAAGCAGAGAGAAGACGTCAAGATGATCTCTAGGAGATGCAAAGAAAGAAGCAGGGCTAATAAAGTAGCCTGAGAGAGAAGGTCAGAGGAGCAGGCATTCACACTGGAAAGAGCCCTTCATCCTGTTGGATACTCATAACAATCACGTGGAGAACAAAAACCAGTATCACTACTCTCACTTAAAAGGAAGAAACTGCATCTAGGAAGGGTTGGGTGACTGGCAGCACTTCCACACGGTGGCCGTCCCATCAGCTGCAGCAGAAAACACCTGGGTCTGGTCTGGACTCAAGGCCAGGTGCAGCACTCTGCCTCTGTGACCTGGGAGAAGAAGAACAGTTCATATTCTCATATTCTATGTGTCCAGGGCTGTTGTTAAAGACTGTAGGCAACCTCATGTGGGGCCATACATTCCATCCAGGGGTAAAAGGCGTCCCCATTCCACCACTCAGAGCTGGCTCCGGTAAAGGCATGCTGGGAAACACCAGCCAGGTCTGACTCAGATGCAGCTCCAGGTGTCTGAGGTTTTGACAAGCATTTCTCCTCTAGTGCTCCTCCCCCATATCAATATCCTGGGGCTACCATAGCAAATGACCATAAACTGTGTGGCTGAGAACAAGGGAAGATGAGACGGGAAGTCTAACATGTAGGGGTCAGCAGGCTGCACTCCCTCAGGGGACTGGGGTATGGCTTCTGTGCCTTGTCACTCCTGGTGTCTGGCAGCTGTTGGCAATCCTTGTTTTGTGGCCACATCACTCCAATCTCTGAGTTCACATAGTTCCTCTTCTGTGTGTTTGTCCTCTGTTTCTCTTCTAAGAACACTCTTCATTGGACTTAGGGTTCACCTGGATAATCCAGGTTGAACTCACAGTAATTGCATCAATCTACTTACTGTATAGTTGGGAAATGCCATCTGTATCTCAGACAAAGAACCACTTTTAGCGATTACCTCCCAAGTTCCAAGAATACTGTCACTAGAAGCCTTGAAATGGTTTTTTTTTTTTTTCATGTTGTTGTGGTCATAAATGAGACCACATATTGGCACATTTGCTATGGACTTCAGAAACCAAATCAAAGACCAGTTCTCACATGGAAGCTAGAAACTGACTACTCCTGTTTGAAAGCTTAGGAGTTACAATTATTTTGGAGGTAGGAATAATTATAAGTTATCTTTCTCCTGTAGTCAAATAGGTGAGGCCTCTTTAACTAAAATTACCCCCTACAGAATCATGACTGTGGTTAACAGTGTGAGGCTTAGTAGAGATATGACTATAACCTAGAATAGCTTTTTTTCCTCTTTGACCATTACTCACAGTCAAAATTACATTATATGCAGCAATCCTATATCTAGACAGGTAAATTTAGTGCACATCTCTAACAAAAATTTCACAAACCAACACCTATTTTTCTATTTTTCCATTCAATTTATACTATCATATTCTATTTTATAGTATTCTATTTCATTTTTTAATTTTGATCTTAACTTATTACATTGATAGTCTAATGATTCACAACCCCAGGTTTAGAAGTCCCTAATCCAGGTCTTAGTCAAGGTCTCAAGATGAAAACACGTAGAAAGTAAACACCAGAGCAGTTCCATGCCAAAGGGCTATGATCCATAGAGTGGTTCATAGAACAAGTACCTCAGGGTGCACCCCAGATTTATTTGGAAAAAATACCAGAACCTCCTCTGAAAGAATAACACTACATATAATGTATCCAAGCCTTTGAGATATCCTTAAGAAAGAACTGTTCTCATTTAACCCAGAACTCCAAAGTCATCTGACCACATGATGTGTGCTTGTGTAACAATCATTGTGCTAAACACTTTTGGGAAATATTCCATATAAAAAGAACGACCAGGTTAGAAATGAAAACCAGTATCTCAGAGCTCAAAAAATATCCACATCTTCAACCACCAACATTTTAAGAGAAGAAAAGGTTAAACAAACTATTTGAAGTTTTTTCTGATAATAGTAAAAGAAATCCCAAAGAATTAAAACTAAAGTACTTAACAGCTTGTTAAGGCCAATAAAGAGAAAACAAAATGTACCTGCATGTAATCTTTATTCCAAGAATAGGGAAATTGATTCAAGTATCTATCCCATACCTCCACCTAGCTAAGGCCCTACCAGCTATTGGAATTGTAAAGAACCTGGTTTGAAGGCCTGATTGGAAATATTTCTCTGAAAAATCCCAGGGAGTTCTGTATCTTATGATTTAAAATAAGGAAGGGATCAATTCATTCACCTCCTACATTTGTACCTCGTCACCAAAGTGGCTCTGTCAAAAGTTGCCTTTCTTGTTTATCAGACCACACAGTGTGAGAGTTGAAGAAAAGTTCATTCTGAGGTTAACCAGGGGTCTGCAGGGCTGGCCAGCAGAGGCAGGAAGTCTATCTGATAAGAACATTTTGTTATTGCCAAATAACATTCTCACAATCTCCAAAGAGAGGTGTGGTATTAGCACTATCTAATTTTGCATATATTTGTTTTCTGTATGTCTCCTTTCACAAAGTGTAGCCTCCATGAGAGTAAAAACATCGTCTCTCTCCTTTACCTGCATATCATCTGCATCCCACAATGTTCTGGGAATATAGTAGAATTGACCAGAAGACAAGGTCAAGTGGAGAAAGGAAAAAATGAGATATACCATCAGAGATCTGAGGAGCCAGTGCTCTGTCCCTTCTTCAGCCACCACTTTTGTCTTCCTGTCTCTCAGGGCTGGGTAGAAGCAGACGCCTACTTGCCCCAGGCCCCCCCTAACATTCAAGTATCAAGACCCTGAGGACGGGACCTGGTTCTTTCCTCTATCATGATAAGTCTCAAAAAAGACCCAATATAGCAGTAATCAAGGATATAAATAATAATAAATGGGCTGGGGTTGTGGCTCACCAGCAGAGTGCTCACGTCTCACGTATGAGACCCTGGGTTCAATCCTCAGCACCACATACAAAAATAAACAAGTGAAATAAAGGTGTTGTGTCCAGCTACAACTAAAAAATAAATATTAAAAATAATAATAAATACTGGGGAAGATGTGGGGAAAAAGAAACACTTTTACACTGTTGGTGGTATTGTAAATTAGTACAACCATTATGGAAATCAGCATGGAAGTTCCTCTAAAGACTAGGAATGGAACTGCCATGCGACCTAGCTATACAGCTCCTTGGTATTTATCCTAAAGAATTAAAGTCATCATACTACAGAAGGGGGAAAAAAAGACACAATAAAAGTTTGTAGAACTAAATTGAGAAAGAATAAAGGTCTGGAGCTGGGGGTTTGGCTCAGACATAGAACACATGCTTAGTACACACATGGGTTCAAATCCCAGCTCCAAAATTTAAAAAAAAAAAAAAGATTAAAACAAAAAAAAATAGCAGTCTGCCTTGAAAGGACAGATATTCACAGAGGAAGCCTCATGAGTTTTAGTGGCTTCCCTGCATATATCAATTTCTCACCCTTTCAGATTTCCTTGATTCTACACTGCTAAGTTTTCTTCAAAATAAGATGTTATGATGCTAAATGTATAATCCATACAAAAATACAAAGAGAAGACTTGACAATTTTAAATGATGAACGATTACAATCAAGTTCAGAAACACTAATCTATACACTCTCTAAGGTGGGGTAGATGTAGGACTTTTTCCTCTTTTGAAATATCTACATTGACAAGTCAGAAGGAGAAAAATTCTTCATTCAGGTTTTTTCCACCAATGATAACCCACTTTTTCATAGGTACACGGAATTTTACTTACCCATTCACTTACCAAAAAATCCACCTGACCTGGACAGAGTGGGACAGGTCCACAGAGTCACATCATTCTTAGGAGTACCTTGGCCTGTTGCAATCTCCTTTGTCTTAGGTAGCCAGATTAAAGAACAAATCTGCAATGGTGATCATAAAATTTTAGCAATTTCTGGTTCATTTTCAATGTACTTAAGTGGATTTTAGACAGTGTGCTCTTTCTACCACCCATCCCCCGTTCGCAGCTGGTGTTAGGGAATTATATTAGTTTTAAGAAAGTTTATCCCATAGCAACAAAAGACCAAGGATATTAAGTAGGTTTAGAAACAATAAACTGATGAGTTTACATGAACCAGGATCACTAGCCAGGAGCCAGACTGCTGTCAAGTTCTACAATCAAAGCAGTGGTGAGAAAGAAAGGAAATGGGGTGGTGGGGGATGAATTAAACTAAATTTGGATTTACAGATTAGGAGGTTTTACAAAAAAGAAACTCTTGAAGACTGAAATTCCCTATGGACTCAGTAGGTGAGGAGAAGTGTATTTGGGTTCTATGCTTTATCATAAATTATTTTCACCAGAAACTAGATAATTGGATTGAAATTGAACTCCAGAGGAGATTTTTACCTGTGAGTTTGTGCTTGGAGTCTGGATGCTCTTCCCGGTATTTATATCCAAGATATGCAAGCATCCGTCTTTCATTCCTCCTCCAACAGCAAGGACTGCAGACTGCCAGGGACACCAATCCATAGCCTTTAAAGTTTTGAATAATAGCACAGATAGGTCAGGACTCAGGGGTCTGCAGCAATGGCCGCTCTTCTGGTCCTGCCACCCAAAGGTAGGAGCAACAGCACCTTCCAGAGTTTACTTCTCAGGAACTAGAAGCCACTTCTGGAAGGGAAGGCACCCATTACAACTCTTCTTCAAATTACACTAACAATTGTGGATATTTTATTATAGAAAGATTACAACGATAACATGTGGGGAAAACTACATGCAACACATGCTATGGGGCAAAACTCTGCTACTGGAGTGGCTCATGTGTGCCCCAGAATGTGGTTCTGAAATGCATCCTTTCCCTAGTTTGTCTACCTGTGTCCTTGGGTTCCAGGTAGTGGTCAGACAAAAAAGAGCTACAAGTGATTACTCACAACTCAAAAATCTCAAAATGCATTTCAAATCCTGACATATTTCAGAAAAGAAAATTTATTTTATAAATGGCTATAGTTAACTCTGAAAAATAGGATTTGGCATCTCACATTTGTATTGATTATTGATATGACTAGTAACAATAACTTTTAAAAATATTTAACAAACATTTTATTTATCTTTATCTATATACATTTATCAGTCATCCTAAAAACTAATCTCATTTTTGCATATCATCTCCTGTACATGAAAATATTTTATAAAGTAGAAAACTCTGGGTTTATGCTATTTTAATTTTCTCTTGTTTATTTGATAAACAGTTTTTTATATTTTAACGTACTTTTCATAGTTATCATTTTAATAATCTCATTCTATATAATCATGTACACTAATTGATTTTGTTCTTCTAATGATGAAACCCACGTTGTTGTTTTTTTTATTTTATTCTGGTTTGGTTTTATAGGGTTGTATTGATTTTTTTTTAAAAAGGAGTGGAATTTTTTGTTGTTTTCGTGTGTTTCATTTGTTGTTTGCTTTTATTTTTTTTTAAATGTTAGATAGTAATTCTTCCTGGTTAAAGATTACTTGGATTTTAAATTACTAATGAAATATTAGTAATTTAAATACTTGTCAATGTAGATATTTCAATATCTAATGAAATTATAATAATTATAAAACAGATAAGGGGAATTTATTTTGCATTTCTCTTATTTACCATAATGATCTACTTCCTATGCATTTGTATTCCTCTAGCACTTCCCCACATGAATTATTTATCCTTTTGTCCATCTAAATACCTGCACCTAAATGTTTTTCTTATAAATTTGATTATATTTTTCAAAAACATACACCTGGGGCTGGGGATGTGGCTCAAGTGGTAGCACGCTCGCCTGGCATGCGTGCGGCCCGGGTTCGATCCTCAGCACCACATACAAACAAAGATGTTGTGTCCGCCGAAAACTAAAANAAAGATACTGATCTTCAACAAAAATAATCCTTGTATCTTCCTTCAAGATCTCTCTCTCTCTCTCTCTCTCTCTCTCTCTCTCTCTCTCTCTCTCTCTCTCTCTCTCCTCTCTCACTCTCTCTTTAAAAAAAAAAAAACCATGCACCTAAGTATACAATAGCTGTTCTCTTCGCCAATCTGCATTTAAACCAACTTGTTAAATTTACAAAGTTCTCCATTACTTTAATAAAAGATATTTATTCCTACCCTTGATAAGCTTGTAGTTTATTCTCTAGAGTGCTCCATACCCCTTTTTCTGTGGATAAAACTGTAGATGTATCTAGTCCACTGTATTTTACCAAACCTGTTTATGACAGGGGAGCTTGGTATTATATTTGTGTGATTTAATTAAATCATATGTAAATATGTAAGTAAATCATCTACTTCATTGATAATTAAAGATAATTGTTATTTCTATGAAAACTAAGTAGAATATTTAACTTAGTTTTATATTTAGGAGCTCTTTTTAAAGCCTAGTACCAACTGAACATGAGAATGTGACCAAAGGCAGCCCAGAGTCCTCCCTGGCATTTTTCCCCTGGAGTCACAGGAAAGTTGACTTTCTTATCCAGAGCCCATCTGGGGGAACCTGAATCAGAAGCTGCAATAGCCATGTTGCCCACTCAACAGAGTCTGAAGAAAAACTGGAACTAAACAGAGAGAAGCAGATCCAAGAGCCAAAGAGGCAGGACTCAGATAACAGTGCTCAAAATTATCTTAGATCCAACCAAGATTTGAAACAACTGCATGTACCCAGGACTCCACAGTTACATGAGAAAATAAATTTACTTTTCTGCTTATGCTTGAGCTTGACTTTGATTTCAGTCATCTACAGCCAAAAAGTCTGACTTATGGGAAATATAAATAGCCCTGTCTCTCAGGAGAGTGATGACAAAATCCAAAACAAATTCTGGAAGAAGAAAAAAATTTCAAACTATTAGCTTAATGGTTTTCTTCTTATATATGAAGGATACTCAGTGGTCTCTGAGAAATGGAAATCTGGAATGGTTTTGGATTTTTTACCTTGACTGCTGTAGACTGTGGCAGTACTTTCAGTGGTTGGCCCCGTGCACTGGCACCCGGATCATAGGGCCATATTGTCAGCAGCCCATCACTACAGCCGCTAGAAAGCAACCTGCCATCCAGTGACCATTTCAGAGCACAAACAGCTTGCTTGTGGCAAAGTGTTCCAACATGATGCTGGGCTATACGTACATCGTGATGATATACATGTCCCAGTCTCGACCCACTGCATGGGAGGTAAAGTAGCAGGTTTACATAACAGAAAAATCAAGACCTATTTCTATATAAGCATTTGAAAACATGGAGGAAAGCACAGTTCAAGGTAAAACTACTGAAAGACCCTTTAGGACTCTTCCAAAGATAGATGGAAATTGTTTAGTTTAATAAAGATGACGTATTCTGTCCCAATGACTCTTTTCACAAGTGAAACAGGTTTTTCTGGCAAAGTTTCACTGGCATCAAAACGTTATTTTGGGGGGGCTAGGATTGTGGTTTAGTGGTAGAGCACTTGCCTAGCATGTGTGAAGCACTGGGTTCGATCCTCAGCACCACATATAAATAAATGAATAAAATAAAGATCCATCAACCTCTGAAAAAAAAATTTTAAAAAAAGAAAAATATATATCTTTTAAAAAAATGTCTCTAGGGGCTGAGATTGTAGTTCAGCTGTAGAGTGCTTGCCTAGCACGTGTGAGGCACTGGGTTCAATTCTCAGCACCACATATAAATAAATAAAATAAACATCCATCAATAACTAAAAAAATTTTTTAAATAAAAGAAAGAAAAATGTCTCTAATGGCTTTAAAATAAAGTAGTCAGTCATAGAAAATATAAATTTAGGCTACCAGACCTTCCCAGCAAGTAGTTTATATACTGGCCCCGTGAAATATTACTTCTCCAAAACTCAGAATATTTCATTTTCTCACTGAAATGGTTTTAGAATATATTTATAGTAAAGTATTAAACATAAAAATTTATTGTTTCCTTTTTCTAAAATGTATATTCCTACTAATCAAAAGATCTACTCTTAGTTTTGACAATAAATTCCTTTTACTAAAATGTAAAAGGAATTTAAAACTAACAATGTCATTGTAAACTGCAATGATTCAAAATCAGTGGATAAAGTACCTACTCCCAGTAAGTTAGATCCAAACAATGATGAAGATCATACCACTTTTTCCAAGATAATGAACTCTTTCAAGGCCAATTTGATGTTCTCTAAGGAGCAGGAAAATAACTTCCTACAACTATATTTGGAATTCCTCAAAGCCCAATGTCACTTTTTAAAATTTATTCAGGCACAACACTGACTAGCATTCTGATTTACAGTATGGGCTCTGGAACCATAGTGGGTTCAAATCCCAACTCTGTCCCACATTAAACATGTGACTTCCATTTAATATCTCAGTTTATTCACCTAAAAAAATTAGGGATTAGAAACCACTTTATAGCCAGGCATGGTGATGCACGCCTGTAATCCCAACAGCTGAGGAGGCTGAGGTAAGAGGCTCATGAGTTCAAAGCCAGCCTCAGTAATTTATAGCAAGGCCCTAAGCAACTCAGCAAGACCCTATTCTCTAAATAAAATATTTTTAAAAAAATAATTGGGGATGTGGTTCAGTAGTTAGGTTCAATCTCCAGTACCAAAAAAAATCACCTTATATTGTTATTACAAGGATTAAATCAAGATTTTACACATAAAAAATATAGCACAATGCCTGGAATAGAGCAGTTAAAAATATTTGCTATCATTATAAGAAAGGATCTGTTTATTCTTTTTATGAATAATGAAACTAATCTTTAACAATGAAGACTACAAAAGGAAATTTAGTATGGAATTGAACTAACTACAACAGCTACTTAAAGAAATTGTTAAAGGCTTGTGTAACATAAGTCTACCTTAGGAAATACACTACAGAGATGAATGGCTATTGTTAATAGCAAATCTATTTAAGCCTATTATGTAGGACCGTAGGAACAAATCACTTTACTTTTCTAGTTAAAAATAAGCAATTAGACTACATCAGCAGTTCCCAAAATGATGCATCATCATCACTTGGGAAACTAGAAGTACAAATGATCAGCCCCCTCTAAGAGCTAATGAATAAGGAATTCCTAGAGTGAGGAGAGTGATTGGTGTTTTAAGGAGCTCTCTAGATGATTCTGATTCACACTCAAGTTTGAGAATCACTGAACAGGGTCATCTATGAGGTTCCTTCCAACAGACTTTAGTGGGTCTGTATATTGGAAATATACCCCAGAAACCTAACATATTCCATAATATTGATGCCAATGGAAATAAACACTTGATTTTAGCAAAATGTTACTGTAGCAGATACTACTTGGTAGAGAAGAGAGTTTTGCATTTTATCTGAACAATCTGAAGACACACGGCTGCCTTGGTGTGTGTGGGCACTGGAGTATGTATACCACAGAAGGCCTGAATACCTGAGAGGGTGGGCTCAGAACTGGAAAAAAAAAAAAAAAAAGCCTAATGTCTCATTTCATTCCATTTGGTTAGGGTTTTAAATATTATAGTTCTCTTCACTCAGTCCCCATAATCAATTGATGATATAAATACAGATGGCTCAACTAAGACACTTCTTACCTGCTGAGGAGATAATGATTCCAGCTCAGGGCCCCAACTACTGACAAGTGACCAAGCATATTTCTCAGCCGCTTTTTAGTTACCACATCCCATAACTGAAAAAAAAAAATGAATGAGCAGAATTACATAGCATTGACCTTCTCATAGCCCACTGTCTTCTTAAAGACCTGACCTCCAATTGCTCTTAATGTAGCCAGTCTGTTATCAAATAAGTGAAAATTCAGCACCCTAACTACAACCAGAAGTTCTCAGCTCTGTCTGAATGCTAGGATCACCTGGGATTTTGTAAAATACTCTGGATGCTGGCACTTCTGATTTAATTGGTGGAGTAGAACCTGGGGATATGGCATTTATCGTTAAAGCTCCCTGTATGAATGTACAACCAAGGGTTGATAGTCATCACACACACTTTCAGCTTCTTCTAAGCCATGGGACTTCCAAACTTTGGAATCCAACTTCAGTTACCAAAATATGTATGAACAGGTTGAGCATAGAATTTTTACCACCTGAGGATCCCAAATCCAAAACTCCAAAATCCAAATTCTCCAAAATCTAAAGTTTTTTGATTAATTGCATAAATAAAATTTTGGTGCCTGAACACTTCCTAGAGTCAGAAATTTAATTTACTGCTAAGAGATTCCTTTCCTACTCGCCACAGATGATTATCTGACCCAGATAAGGAATGACAACTTTGAATTAAGAAGAAATCGTGACATGACCTTCACAGCATCCTCTATCTTTGCGAAGATAAGGAACAGGTGAACCCTCTGTGGCCCTCCTAGATCATCTAGAACATGGGCAACACTGTGTAAACCATTGTTAATAAACAATAAGAATGATATATGAAAAATTACATAGATGAAAATTTAATAGATTATCAGCCTATCAGGAAAAAGAATCCATTCATTTCACATAGCTCTACTCCAAATCACAGCTTCAGGTAAAAAAGAAGTGAAAGGGCTTTCTCTCTCCAAAGTTCCAAAACTAAGGAGTCTACAAATCCAACTTCAGTTTGATAGAAAAAATGTTTCAAAAACAACAATAAATTAAAAATGACAGAAAGAGATATTGTGGAGGAAACTAAGCAGAGTACCCTTAAGTCCGATTGAAATGCCATTCAGAGAAAAAAGGAAAAAAACAAAGTGGTATCTCCCCTTGCTTCCCACAGCCCTACGTGCCACTCTAAGCTAGTTTCTCTATACATTAGTGACATGTTATGAAAGTGAATTTTAGTTTTCTGATAATCACACAAGAACTTTATGAGAAAAGAAACTGTCCCATACTTGCACTTCTCCCTCACTGGTGCCAACTGCCAGGCACGTTCCCTCTTTTATCCAGGATACAGAAGACACATAGTTGCAAGTGAGACCCAAGTCTATGTTTTCAACTCCATTGTGGCTTTCCCCATTCCAGATGTACACAGCAGGTCCAAGGGCTACAGCAACAACATTTTTAAAACTCCAGTCCAGGATATTCAGATCTATTTTTTTTTTAAAAAAAAGACATTTAAAATTAGGGTGATTATGTAGCCAAAGAAAAACTTCCCAAGTAAATAATTTTGTTTATAGATTATGGGAGAAATATTAAGATCTTCCCATGGTCAGTCATAAAATAGAATTACAAATCTAAGCAGATTATTAGAAGTTCAAAAATAACAACTGGAATAGAATCTGGTTCAAGACTCACAGGGAATGACATTGGCTAAATTATATTGTTATATTGTGTGCATGTATAAATATGTAACAACAAATCCCACCAGTGTGTACAATCATAATGCACCAATAAAAAGTCAAAAATTACACACACACACACACACACACAGACTCATTGTCTAATAAGCAATAACACTTATTACTTATGCTCAAAGATACCAATCTAGAGACATTTAAAGAACAGGGCAGATTCATCATGCATACATGAATTCTGTCTAACACATCATTAAAATATGAAAGCAAACAATTATTTTGGAGTAATCTTTAAACCTAGGATATTTATGTTGGAAATGCCATCATCATTTCTAACCAAAAGTCACCATAAACTGAAGTACATCTAGATGAGATGGTGGCTCATTTGTGGCACCTATAAGTTCTCTGTAGCATCCTCCAGCTCATACTAACAAGAATTCTGACTGGTAAGAGAAGCCATATTTTTATAACCACTTATTAAAATGTACTCTTATTTCTTTTAAGGCAGAAACTCTTATCCTGACCAACACATATCAATACAAAGTTATGATGCACACCAGTTCCATTACAGTGAACTAAGCCTCCTACAACATATTCCTCCCATTAAAACAAATATGGACTCTGGACAAAATGTGAAACACAAACATCTAAGGACCCTAGAAAGGTAGTGAAATCAGGTAAACTAAGTAAGGAGTCAAAACATGGAAAACCTGCCCAAGTGAGAGTGTCCCACCTTTTTCCTCACTTGGCTTTGCCCTGAGGGCAAGTGCTCCAGTCACTGAGCGCCACCTGCAGCAAAGACGCTGTCAGAGAGCCCACCATCTTTCTTATCCAGGAAATCAAGAAAAGGAGTTTAAGGTGGCCAAGATGTGAGAGGAAGGTCTAAAGGGAAGAGAACCACAGAAAAATGTCCTCCAGCTGTGAGTATGTGAACTCACAGACACCTCAGTCTAACCCCTAAGTCATGCAAGTGCAGGGGAAACTCAACATAGCCTAGCAGAGACTTTCAGAAATGAACCGAGATTTAAAACATTCATATAAGTAAGTCTTGGCCTAGACTTAGGTCCACATATAGGAAGGCAGACCCAAACCAACATAGTCAAGGATTAAGAAACTAATCTAAGATTTAAAATACAACACATAAATGGCAAGATAAAACTTAAAGTGTGAACCTAACTATGACAAAACAATAACATTCTACACAAATCCAAAGTAAATACATAAGAGTATAATGTCCAGAACACAATTAAAAATTACTGGACACATATAGAGAAACATATCAATAGATGAAAACTACAAGATGACCAAGAAAGAAAAATTATCAGACAAAGACTCTAAAGCAACTATTATACTTTACATAAAATAAAATGCATTTGAAATTAATGAAAAGATAGAAAACCTCAGCAGAAAAATATTTTTTCTAATAAATAAAATAGAAACTATAAGACAAAACAATAGAAATAAAAGGTACAAAAACTATAAAATGGAAATTTTATCACTGAAAAATACAACATCTGAAAAATTTCGTGAACAGGCTCAATAGCAAAATGGAAATGATAGGGGAAAGAGTGAGTGAATTTAAATATAAACCAACATAAATTAATAAGGAAAATATGGAGAAGAAAATTAAAAGGAAAAAAATTAATGGAGCCCCAGGAATTTGTGGAATGCTATCCAAAAAATCTAATATATGAGTAATTGGAACCACCAAACCTTGGAAGCAGGAGAACAAGCCTTCAAATGATCATGAGTTCTCACCAGAAGCCATGGAGACCAGAAGTCAATAGAACAACATCTTTAAAATATTGGAAGGAAAATCTTCCAACTTGGATCTTCAAGGATGAAAGAACATTGGAATTGGTAAATGTTTTTCCCTCTTAAGAAATTTAAAATATTTTTTCAGTTTTAACTGTTTAAAGTAAAATTTATAACAATGGTGAGGTTTTCAGTGGATATAGGTATAAAATACATGACAACTCAGTAACCTAGAAAACAAGAAGTAGGAGAGACCTGTGAGCTACAAGATCTTTATATGCATCTTGAGTTAAATGTACAATGGTAACTATAAATAGACTTGAGAAAGTTTGGACTACACTGAAATCCCTACAGCAACAACTAAAAAAAAACAATACAAAGAAATACAGCCAAAAAGACAGAAGTAGAAAAGATGTCCAAGAAATGAGCATTGGGCACTCCAACATTAGAGTGCAGGGAGGCAGAAGGGGAAGAGAAGGAGGAAAGTAAGGAAATAAGGGAGGGAGGGAGAGAAAAAATAAAAGACCAGAAAAGACAGAACATAAAACTAGGAAGTTTATGTGTCAATTAAAAAAAAAAAAAAAAACCTAGGGGCAACCCAAGAGGGGAATATCAAAGAGGAGGCACAGATCAACCGTCTCAGATGTGGATGACAGGGTAAAGTCAATGAGCTTTAAGAAGCAACTGTCGGACTTAACAAGGAGGGTTTCTTTGGTGATACTTGGAATAGCAGTTTCAGTTCAACAGTGAGATTTAAAACCAACTACAGTGGGCTCAGGACAATGTGGGGAAATGGGAAATAGTATAAACACCTTTTGACAAATTTGCTGTGAGGGGAGAAAAGAAAGGGGCTACAGCTTGAAGGAAAAGTGGGAATGAAAGAGGATGTTTTGCTTTATAATGTTGTGGTTTGTTTTTCTTGAAAAGTTATCCTCCTTAGGTGGTCTTGACAATAAATTTCCTTGGAAAAAGAACTACAAAACAAAAGAGGACAGAAAAGTGCTCCCTTTAGTGATTTTGCCTCTTACTATTCATTCCTATCTATAGATGTTTCCCTTCTCTCTGCTCCCCACTCCTCTACAGAGTTCACACTGGCCCTTGCCTTCAACCTTAATCATCCAGCTTGCATGCTGGTTCATTCTCTCTTCTAACTTCATTTATCATGATAGGCCAAGCCTCTGCCATGCCTCACTGCCTCCTCTACTATGACATTCCAAGAACAGTTCCCCCCACCCTCTAGAACACCTCCCTGCACCCTGTCTTTCAGAGACATCACCTCTCTTCTGCTTCAAAAACATAGAATCATCTTAAATTCATCCATCTTGCCCAGTATTTTTACTCATGGAGTATAAATAGACCCTTAATCTTTAGTAATTCTCTGCTGCTAAATGCTTTCTGTATACTCTACCATGAATGTTCCTTTACATTTTTCCTAGTCAACAAGTCCTCAAACAAGTATAGGTTTCTATGCCTGACTTTTGAATTTCTTCATGATCTGCATAGATAGGTACATACTTACCTATGCACCAGTCCCCAATGTAGCGTCTTCATTGCAATTAATTATCATTAATTACCAATATTTTGTCTTTGATCATGCTGTTAGCAGTACCAAAATTTCTCTTTCTCCCCTCCACACTTACAAATCCTACCCATCTTTCAAGACCCAGATGAAGTCTGAATATCTCCAGAGTCTTCCTGGACAACTATAGAGCTCACTGATCCCCTTATAGCTCATTATATTGCATAGTTCATTATTTATATTCCACATTGGCATGTTGGTATCAGTTTCATGTGAGTTAGTACTGTCTTCCTAAGTAGATTATAAGTTAGGCACTTAATAAGCACATCCAATGTGGTAACTGATTTGATTTACCCATGTTAAAACATGCATAAGAATAGGCCAACATTAGTACAGTTCATTCTAATACAATAAAACAAAAATGTATTTATGAGCCAGGTACTATGGCACAAATCTGTAATACTGCCAGCAAATCAGCAGGCAGAGGCAAAAGTATCACAAATTCAAAGACAGCCTCAGCAACTTAGTGATACGTTGTCTCAAAAATATTATTTTAAAAGTTCGCAGATGTAACTCAATGGTACAGTGGACCTGGGCTCAATCCCCAGTATGGCCAAAAAAAAGTACTTATGAGTAAAAATCCTCTTGTTCTTCTACCAATAAAATAACACCCTTTGCTGAACATCGAAGTTGCACAAGGAAAAAACAACTACATTACTACATTAACCATAGTTGCATGGTACTTCATTGGAATATGAGACACAAGGACTATCTGATTCTTTCAGAATCAAACTTTTAGTTTATGCCAGAGCACAGAAAATATTGTCATTTCAATTTTTTTTTTTTTTTTTTTTTTGTACCAGGGACTGAACTCAAGCACACCTAATCACTAAGCCACATTCTCAGCCCTTTTTTGTATTTTGTTTAGAGACCAGGTCTCACTGAGTTGCTCAGGGCCTCGCTGAATGCTGAGGCTGGCTTTGAACACATGATTCTCCTATCTCAACCTCCCAAGCTGCTGGGATTACAAGTGTACACCACCACGCCCAGCTCGTTCAACTTTTTAATTCACAATCTAAACAATAACTTACAGTAGTCATTTCGAAGACCAGTAAGATGAATCTTCACCTCTGGTTGACATATGGGATAGTTTTTATCACAGAACCTTTTAAGATGAAAGAATTCATCTCCGACTCCATATTGGCAACCTACAAAGAACAAACATTTAGAACAAAGTTCTAAATATCTCTAAAAGTCTGAAAATATAATGTTTATCCTTGTAGGTATTAATAGAATACAAAGCAAAAAAAGAAAGTGGTCATCATTATAGAAACTGTAGTACAAAGAACTGGGGAGAAAAAAAATGAAGAGGGGAACTAGGGTTATGGCTCAGTGGTAGAACGCTCACCTCACATGTGCAAGGTCCTGAGTTTGATCCTCAGCACCACATATAAACAAAATAAAGTTATAAAGAAATAAATAAACAAAAATGAAGAGGACTTCAGTATTAATTTAAACAAGAATATTAAAAATTATCCTGTGGCACATTATAATAAAAAGTACATGAGTGCCAGACTTGAGTGTAGATAACAGGTCTTCTGGGGAACACACAGAAATACTACATCAGGCTTGAACATTTTATTCTATCACATGAGATTTTAAAACTAAAGTGAATTTTGTACATCAATGTTCATCACACCCATGCTTACCTGGTGGACATACACCCTCCTTTAATTCTTTGTCAATAAATATTTGTTGATTCATTGATTTTAGCTTTTTCTCTATTTCTGTACCAAAGCATACAGAGTTATCACTTTGGGCTCATTTTACCAGGACTACCTAAGTCATGATGGCGTCTTTTGTTCTCTTTTCTCATTAAAAGACTCCACTAAGTTCAAACCACAGACCACTGTCTTTTCATCTTCAACCACTTATTTATCATCAAACTGAGAATGAAAGAATCAATAGGAACCAAGACAAACCAGGTGATTTGTGGTCACTGTGACCCAAATGGCTTCTGATAAAGGCATGAGAGCTTTACAATGCTATACCGTTACACCAAATTATTACTCATAAATTCCTACTGCAGGAACACAGATGGTCTGCAACTTAACAATGGTTCTACTTAATAATTTTTCACATTTACAAAGGTATAAGAGCTTACCCACATCATTATTCTGGTTTTCATTTCAGTACAGTATTCCAAATAAATTTCATGAGAGTTTCAACTCTGTTTATAAGATATGTTTTGTGTTAGGTGTCTTGCCCAACTGTAGACTAATTTAGTGTTCTGAGGATGTTTAAAGTAGGGAAAACTAATAGATTATGTTTGGTTTTATTAAATGTATTTTCAACTCACAATGAGTTTATTGGGACATAGCCACATCACAAGTCAAGGAACATTTATACCTCTGAAAATGTGTAAAATAATGTTATTTGAGAAATAAGACAAGAAACATGAATAGAATACTGTTGAAAAGGGACATTGCAAAGAAATTACTCTTTAAAAATTAAAACTAGGATAACCAAAATTAAGATTTAATAAGGCTGTTGGACAGGACTGAGTTAATAATTCAGGAGAGAGAAAACAGGTGAAAATGGAACAAAAAAGATAGAAAAGTGAGAAAACCAATACAGAAAGATCAACATAATAATTTCAGTAAGAGGGCTGGGGCTCAGTGGCAAAGCACTTGCCTAGCACATGTAAGGTACTGGGTTCAATCCTTAGCACCACTAAAAATAAAATAAAGCATGCTGTCCATCTATAACTACAAAAAAATTTTTTAAAGTAATTTCAGACAGAAAAATTAAACAAAAGTGAATAAATTAAAGAATAATTAAAGATACTTTTTAAGAACTATAGACTATGAATCTCTAAGATTGAAAAGGCTCACCAAGGAGTATTATAGCCTGAGGTGTTTCCCCAAAATAAGCTCATGGTGTTAGGCATTACAGAACTGTTCCAAAATGAAATTATTAGATTATGAGAATTGTCACCTAATCAATGGATCAACCCATTGATGGATTAATAATTTGAATGGATTTCTGGGTAGTAATTGAAGGCAGGTAAGGTATAGCTGAAGAAGGTAGGTCACTAGAGGTGTGCCCTTGGGGATTATATATCTTATCGTTGGTTCCTTGCATATTCTTTTCCTCCCAACCCCCTGCTTCCTAGCTGTCATAAACTGAGAAGCTTTCCTTCACCAAGCCCTTCCACCATGATATTCTGCCTCACCTCAAACCCAGAACAATGGAGTCAGTCAACCATGGACTAAAACTCTGAAATTTATCCTCCTCTAAGTTGTTCTTGTCAGGAGTTTTGGTCCCAGCAATTGAAAGCTGAGTAACACAATAGGTACTGAGAAGTAGGTCATCATTGTGACTAACCTGACTGTGTGGTTTAGAAACCTTTGGAACTAATTGTTGGAGAAGTTTAGAAAAGTTTGGAGTTGCAAGCTGGGGAAGACTTAGACTATTGTAAGCAAAGCTTAATAGTCAATTCTGGTGTGAGTTTAGAAGAGCAAAAATGCTAACAGAATGTAGATACTAAAGACTGCCCATGAAGCTTCATGAGAAAAAAATCTATTGGGAATTGGACTAGTGGCCATTCATTTTACATTCTAGTAAAGAAGTTGCCTATATCTTGTCCAAGTCCTTTCTGTGAGTCTGAATTTTAAAATGATGGATGAATTCATCTGGTGGAGGAAATTTCAAGGCAGCACAGCATTCAAGTGGTGGCATGGGTTTTGCTGGTGGCTTTTAGCTAAATTTACTGTGATAATCAGGAGCAGAAAGCAGATAAGAAATATTTGAAAAACTTGCAGTTTGACCAGAAAAAAATCATGTTTAAATTGGACCAAAGAAGGTGTGGTTGTTGAAGAGATTACTGTCACTGCTGATTCTGCAGGAATGCAAAATGCTGGAGTTAAGGATTTCAAAGAAAGGCCTGGGAGGCCAGGCAGAGTGTGGCAGTATTGTAATCTCTGCAGGTAGCCCCTGAGAAGGCAATGCAGGAAGCTATAAGAAGGATGCCAAACCTGGAACAGAGACTCCATAAATTAAGGCATGCCAATAAAGTGAAAAGTCTACCAAGAAAAGCTGCTAACTGTGAACAGAGCCAGTCTAAGAGAGAGATCAGGTGGTGTGTGACTGTCAAGATCAAAAGGGTGGGGCTGCCAAAGCCCCCTGGGGATCATATCTTGCCATCATGTGTCTCAGAAGCCAGACATGGAACTACAGAATTTGTTTGCCCTGCTAGGTTTCAGTCTTGTTTTGATCCCATCCCTTCTTTCTATGTGCCTATTCCTGGGACTTTTATTCCTTAAAATGGAAATATTTACTCTTCGCCATTAAATATTGGACATATAACTTGCTTTTTGATTTTTATAGAGAATCACAACCAACAGTTGGCCTTGAGACTCAGATGAAACTTTGGACTTAGACTTTTGGGCAATGCTGGAACTGTTAAGACTATATGGACTCTTGGAGACAAGCTGAATGCATTTTGGATTATGAGATAAACATGAGTTTTTGGAATCCATATGTGGAATGTTATGATTTGGATATGAGGCATCCCTCAAAAGCAAGAGGTGAAATTATTTGATTATGAGAGTCATAAACTAATCAGTGGATTAATCCATTTGATGGGCTAATGATATGAATGGTTTACTGAGTGGTAACTATAAGCAGGTAAGTCAAGGCTGGAGGAAGTAGGTCACTGGTGGTGTGCCCTTGAGGATTTTATATGTTGTCCCTGGCTTTCTCCCCCATTTCCCCTTTTCCTCCCCTCTTACTCCCTCCCCCCTCCTCTCCTTGGCTACCATGAGCTGAAAACTCTCTTCTGCCATGATGTTCTGCCTTACTTTGGACCCCAAGTAATGGAGTTGACTGACCATGGATTAAACCTCTAAAACCATAAGCCCAAAATAAACTTTTCCTCCTCAAAATTGTTCATGTCAGATATTTTGATGATAGCAATGAAAGCCTAACTAACACAATGAGTACTTTTTTTTTAAAGAGAGAGAGAGAGAGAGAGAGAGAGAGAGAGAGAGAGAGAGAAAGAGAAGAGAGAGAGAGACAGAGAGAATTTTTTTAATATTTATTTTTCAGTTTTTGGTGGACACAACATCTTTATTTTGTTTATTTATTTTTTAATGTGGTGCTGAGGATCGAACCCAGCACCCCGCACATGCCAGGCGAGTGTGTTACCGCTTGAGCCATATCCCCAGCCCATGAGTACTTTTTTTTAATACCAGGCTTCCTCATCCTGAAATTTTAGAGCACTGGTGATAAGAGATATTACTAACAGCATCCAGGGAGAAAATGATAACGGCATACAAAGTATTGGAAATTAAAATAACATATGACTGCTCATCAGCAACAATTAATGCTAGAACACAATAAAGTTCAAAGTTCTAAGCAAAACTAGAATTTATAGCCACTTGAACTATGGATCAGGTATAGTAGTAGAAAAAGGACATTCTCAGAGATAATGGACTTAACATCTAAGAAGATAAGTCCCAGGATTATAACTGTGCAATTGGCTAAGGGAACAAGCAGACTGTTTAGCAGGTTCAGAAGGAGGTTACTGAGGAAAACAGAATAAAGTAACTGCATGGAAAATGTTATCAATAGTTGTAGAAAAAACACTGGAGGGGCTGGGGATGTTGCTCAAGCGGTAGCGCGCTCGCCTGGCATGCGTGCGGCCCGGGTTCGATCCTCAGCACCACATACAAACAAAGATGTTGTGTCCACCAAAAGCTAGAAAATAAATATTAAAAATTCTCTCTCTCTCTCTCTCTCTCTCTCTCTCTCTCTCTCTCTAAAAAAAAAAAAAAAACACTGGAGCATTTAGAGGAAACATTAATAGTTTATGGACATCTGTTAAATGAGGCAAGTAGGAAAAACAAAGCTATATTTAAAAAAGAAGAATACATATAGTATACTACTTGGCTTGGTGGTGAATATAGTTTTATAGGAAGATGATATAAACACCAACTACTAATTTGATTTTTAAAAGTATGATGTGGCCATGTCCAGAAACCAAAGAATGAAGCAGGAAGAGAACCAAGTTCTTATCTACTATACTAGGAGGTCATGATAAAGTCCAAAATTATGAGAAATAAAAGTTTGCCAATATTATGCAAAAATATATGTAAATATCAGGAGAATCACTGGAAAAGCTAAGGGTGGTACCCTCTAGAAAAACAGGATTTGTGGGCTGAGGTTGGGGCTCAGTGGTAAAGCACTGGGTTCTATCCTCAGCACCATGTAATAAATAAAATAAAGAGAGAAAGAGAGAGAGAGAGAGAGATTTGCTGTCATTTTAATTATTTATTAAAAATAAATAAAACTTGGGGTAGAGGTGGTTAAGGTAGAGGATTATGAGAAGCATCCGTATCTTACAATAACGTTTAACCTAATATATTTTAAAACAAGGAAGAATTGAAGGATGCAAGGTAATAGGAAAGAAGGACAAATTAAAAGTCTTTGCCTCATACCTTTCCAAATACATTGGGATTTATCACAGAGCTGCATTTTCCCATCAGTTTTCTGAACCACTTTCTGGGTAGAAAATAGTTGGTTTGGGCATTTCTGAAAATAAACACACATAAAGAGAATGCATCTTTAGAAACACTTGTACATCTCAGATGCAATAAATGAATACAGAGTTATAACTGATGATTCACTAAGAAGTTCAAAGATTACACATTGCTATAGCTAACACCACAATAATTACTATTATTTATTAACTAATCACTGTTCAATAAAAAATGCTGAGGGTTAATAAAAATATATATATTGCTTATATATATATATTTATATATGTTTATAATCTCAACAACCCTTATAGCAGATATTAATCAGCTAAATTAAAATTATTTTTTATTTTTTAGCCTAAAAATCTACTTAGCCTATAAACCAATCTCATACTATTACACCTTTACCAACTAAAATACAGACAGAGATCTTAAGAAATTTGTCCAGATTTTCATGAGCACAAAAATTGTTATTAAACTGGGCCAGTATATAAAGCACATTTCTGACATTCCTTCATCCAACTTAGATCAAAACCAGTTAGGACAATTAGCAATAAATAAATGGAAAGAAAAAAAGCTTATTGGAATTTTCTAAAAACATACTAATGAATAGTTAAGGCAGATAAAATTCATTTTTGTTCCTTCACAACAGCATCTTATATGTATGGCAATACCTAAATTTCCAATGATTCAGACCAAAATCTCTCTGACAGGCATCTTTTTAATATTTTGGTTTCTCTCTCAGTCTTATCGGACATAATAAACATTGCCCATCAATGAATCATGTTTTTTTATATATATGTCCAAGGTAGAAAGATGCATTTGGGGTAAAGGATTCATTGTTGTGGAAACTATCCTAAGCACATGCTTGGCAGCACCCTGGCCTTTACCCACAGGAGACCCCTCTCTGACCTGTGACAATCAAAACCATTCTCAGACATTGTAAAATGCCCCCTGAGGCACAAAATTACCCTGAGGTGAGAACCACTCGTATTAAATAGCATTTCTAAAATGGCCTGCTCTTCAGTAGTAGCTCAATGTAACTCTTTTTTTTTTATTCTTTTTTTTTTTTTTTTTAGTTGTAGATGAACACAACACCTTTATTTTACTTACTTATTTTATGTGGTTCTGAGGTTCGAACCCAGTGCCCCATATGTTCGAGGTAAGCACTCTGCTAGTGAGCACAATCTCAGCCCCTCAATGTAACTCTTTACAGATTCACTTATTCAGAATCCCATAGAATCCCCAAAGCTGAACAAGGCATTTTCCCACACATGCTTCTCTGTTCTGTCTACTCAGAGGTGCTCATTACTAGTGAAATCTACTTATTACTTTAACTAACAACCCAGAGCTCACCGATATGAATTCTCAAAGACTCCACTGCTAGTCAGGCCCTAGCTGTAGAAACATTCTCCAGGTGATCAGTGAGGACTGCATGAAGACACATATGTTTACTGGAAAGTGTCTTTACCACACTTGGTGCTTTTTGACTTCCTACTGGTCATGACAACAGATGCTCTACATAGAGCTGTAAAACAGTTTCTTCTATCCCCTGCCAAGGTCCCTCAGTGATGTACTAGCCGGCATGACAACTGCTGTAAGAAAGATCTTTCCAACACCACTGTGAGCCTACAGAGCCACCAACCTTTCTGCCACCAACTACCAGACGGGATATGGGGAAGGAAAAGGGAATTTTTGAGGGCCTGGAGAGTAAAAATTTCAAGCATCAGTGTGGATGCTAATGACCTAGTCCAGGGTGATTTCAACACACCTCTCTCACCATTAGATAGGATTAGATAGGTCATCCAGATATACACTGTGAAGACAATATACCATGACCAAGTGGATTTCATACCAGGGATGCAAGGTTGTTTCAACATATGCAAATCACTAAATTCACCACCTAAATATAATTAAGGACAAAAATCATATGATTATCTCAATAGATACAGAAAAAGCCTTTGAAAAAATCCAGCACCCATTCATGTTAAAAATGCTGGAGAAACTAAAAGTAGAAGGAACTTATCTCAACATTATAAAGGCTCTATTTGACAAACCCAAAGCCAACATCATACTGACTAGAGAAAAACTGAACACATTTCCTCGAAAATCAAAAACTAGACAAAGATGTCCCCTCTCACCATTCCTATTCAATATAGCCCTTAAAACTACAGCCAGATCAAACAGGCAAGAAAAGGAAATTAAAGGGATAAAAAGAGGAAAAGAAGAAGTCAAATTGTCTGTTTACTGATGGTATGATCCTATAACTAGAAGTCTCAAAAAAAAATCCACCAGAAGACATCTAAAGCCAATAAACAAATTCAGCAACGTAGTAAGATATAAGATCAATACCCATAAATCAATAGCTTTTTTATATTCCAGTAATGAATCTGCTGAGAAAGAAATTGGGAAAACTATCTAACCCATTCACAATAATCTAAAAAATACATATACCTAGGAATAACTCCTCTACACTGAAAACTATAGGACACTGAAGAAAGAAACTGAGGAAGATCTCAGAAGTTGGAAAGACCTCCTGTGTTCTTACAAAGGCAGAATTAATATTGTCAAAATGGCCATACTACCAAAAGCATTAAATAGATTCAATGCAATCCCCATCAAAAAAAAATGAAAAAGCAGCCTAAAATTCATTTGGAAGAATGAAAGACCAGAATAGCCAAAGCAATACTGAGCAAGAAGAGCAATGTTGGAGGCTGCACAATACCTGATCTCAAATTATATTACAAAGTTATAATAATAAAAGAAACAGCATGATTTAGTATTAAAACAGACATGAAGATCAATGAAATAGAAGACACAGAGACAAATTTTTAATAAACTGATGGGAACAATTGTTATCCTTATGTAGACACATGAAACTAGATCCTTATCTTTAACCCTGGACAAAAGTCAAACCAAAATAGATCAAAGACCTTAGAAATTTACAACCAGAGATATGAAAAACTGCACTCTATATGTGTAATATGAATTGTAATGCATTCTGTTGTAATGTATAACAAATCAAAATTTTAAAAAATTTTAAAAAGAAATTAGCTCAGAAACTTTGCAACTGCTAGAAGAAAACATAGGTTTAACACTCCAACATATTGGTACAGGCACCAATTTCCTTAATAAGACCCTTATAAAGTTCAAGAAATAAAATCAAGAATCAATAAGTGGGATAATGCTAAATTCAAAAGCTTCTCAATAGCAAAGGAAATTATTAAGATCGAGAAGAAAGATCCTGAAGAATGGAAGAAAACCTTTGCCAGCTATTCCTCCTACAGAAAATTAATATCCAAAATACATAAAGAACTCAAAAACCTTACACCCAAAATAAAATAAATAACACAACCACTAGATGGGCAAAAGAGCTAAGCAAACATTTCTCAAAAAAAGAAATACAAATGATCCACAGATAATATGAAAAAGTGTTCAACATCCCTAGCAATCAGAGAAATGCAAATCAAACCTACATTGAGATTTCATCTCACTCCAGTTAAAATGGCAATCGTCAAGAATACAAATAATAAGAAATGCTGGCAAGAATGTGGGGGGAAAGGTACACATCTACATTGTTGGTAGGATTTTAAAGTAGTACAACCACATTGGAAAGAAGTATAGTGATTCCTAAAAAAAAAAAAAAAACTAGGAATGGAACCACATTAGGGCCCAGCTATCCCACTTCTTGGTATTTATCCCAAAGAATTAAAATCAAGGGGCTGGGGTCGTGGCTCAGTGGTAGAGTGCTTGCCTAGTATACTTGAGGCACTTGATTCAATCCTCAGTACCACATAAATATAAAATAAAGATATTGTGTCCACTTAAAACTAAAAAATAAATATTTTATTTAAAAAAGAATTAAAATCAACATACTAACGGGCACTTCATATGTGGAAGCTAGAGCAAAATAAGAGGGGGAAGTGGGTGAGGAATTCCATGAAAATAGAAGGGAGATCAGGAGACTAGAGGGAAAGGGAGGAGGGAGAGGGAGAAGGGACAGAAAAAGAGCAGAACTGTAGGATGATATTGACCAAATTATTCTATGTACATTATATGGACATACCAGGGTGAATTTCACCTTTATGTATATCTATAAAGCACCAATTAAAAAATTATAAATAAACAGAAAGAATATTAGTAGAATTCAGGAAGGGAGGAGGGAAGGGAAAGAGGAAATACAAGGGACCAAAATGGAGCAAATTATATTCTATGCATGTATGGTTACATCAAAATGAACCCCACTATCATGTATAACTATAATGGAATAAAAATCACTTTTTAAAAATAACCTGGTCCAGTCATGAGGCTAACAACATCCTTAATTATCTCAGTAGAACTCTGTAACCATCCCTCAACTCTATGCCCTACAATAAGGCATCCAACAAAAGACCTGCTCTAACACATTTATACAGATACACACACACACACACACACACACACACACATATGAACACCTATACATATATGTATGTGTGTGTATATATATAAATATATATATATAAAATGTATGTATGCCACATTATGTATATATATACACCATTGTATGTACAATTGGGCTATATTTTTGATCTTTACCTCACTGATGGTTTTCCTCATTTTCACTTTTTTGACTGGTTCTAACAACATGATTTGGTGGAATTTTTTTTTCTTAAGAAGTGCCTCTATTCATATTCATTTGCTCAATTTTTTCTGTCAATAATCTATCATTTTTTTCTTACTGAATTTTAAGGGCAGCTAAGCAGCTCCTTACTCACATTTGAGACTCAATTATCCAAGCTTCTTAAGCTGTAGGATCTTCACTTTTCTCTCTTACCTACCTGACTTTTAGAGGCAATGTTTTCCTTTACAGCTCTGTCCAGAGCATGAGGTGCCTCACAAACACAGAGAGCAGAGTTATTCCTTTCATAACCTTCTTTGGTAGGAAACTTCAGTGGTTCTTTGTAGATTCCTACAAGAAAGACACTTAGCTTTAAATTTGGTTTTTAATATAACAGTCACTTTGCAGGTCTCACCACAGAATCTCCCACAATAAAACAGAATGTGAGGTCCAGCATGAAAACCCAGGATGGGGGTAAGAGAAAGGAGGAGAGAGGGCCTTACACAGAGCACTGGGTTCATAAGTGAACGCTCATGAGAAACTGCTTTAGTAACCTCTGAATCAGGGAAGAAATGCTGGATTAAAGGTCTGACTCCAACTGCAGCATCAGTGGTAGAAATGCTTCACCTCTTCATAGAAAGTACAGGCTTGCACATTTGAAGAATGGATGGAAAGAATTCAATAATTTAAAAAGATGGTGCAAAGACTATTTGATTTGCCCATACTATGATCATCCTGCAGGAAATCACTACAGGAAATTTTTGTGTTGTCAATCATTGGTGCTCACTGCATGATCATGAGAATATCACTGTCATCCCCCATCCCTTCCTACTGCAAAGAAATGTTGCAAAAGTCAAGTGAGATAGCATCAATGTAATACTAAGTTAAAATAACAGAAGTGTTATTTGCATTAATTATTTCACATTTGTGTCCTTCTCAAGGTTGAGAATGCCTTTTAACAGGTTTTTTTTAAAAAAAAAAAGAGGGAGAGAGAGAGAGAGAGAGAGAGAGAGAGAGAGAGAATTTTTTAATATTTATTTTTTAGTTTTTGGCAGACACAACATCTTTGTTGGTATGTGGTGCTGAGGATNGAGAGAGAATTTTTTAATATTTATTTTTTAGTTTTTGGCAGACACAACATCTTTGTTGGTATGTGGTGCTGAGGATCTAACCCAGGCCGCACGCATGCCAGGCGAGCGCACTACCGCTTGAGCCACATCCCCAGCCCTTAACAGGTTTTTAACTGCACTGGCAACCTGTGAAGGCATCCTCTAAGACTAAATATATGCCATATTGCTTGTTTATCCAAGGGGCCAAGAAACCATTGGAAAATTGTGGCCTTTTGAATGTGACAATCACTTCTTCATTTGGAAAACCATGGGCTTGGTAAGATGTTGCTAATGTTCTCAGAGCCTGGTACCTCGAGTCCTGTGATATTCAAAATCTAAGAGGTGTTATGTTACGTTAAAGGAGGAGGAGGGATGAAAACATGAAATGTTCCTCAAAGCTTTACGTCCTATTCCGTGTCCTGAGAAAGTATGCATGCTTTCTTCCTTGTGCCATTTATACAAGGGTATAAAGTAGAAAAGGCTAGCTCTCAGAATCTCAAATGAAAAAGGAAAAGTGCACTTGGATGCAAGTACTGACAATCATCCCTATCACAAACAAAGAGGTCAAGTCCACCAGCCAAAGAAAGCAGGGACCTCTCAGGTTTCCTGTGGCGAGCATAACTGCAAATGAACCTCTCTGTATGTGTCCCTTACACTTCTGAAACCAAGAAAAGAAACACCAGCAGCAAAACACTTAGAAGCCAATTTATCTGATTAATGCCCAGTACTAAATTAAATAGAAAATAAAGTGGACTTTCTTGTAAAATCTTCTTGACTAATACATATTGTCTGAAATTTTAAATTTCTCACATAAGGTTTTACTAAGAAACAACCAATAAATTGATTTAGAACCTAAAAAAAAAAGGAAAGCCCCCAATTTTAGCCAGAGATGCCCCTAAAACAATCAGCATAAAAACTGCTCCCCAATTACAATGGGACTCAAAAGATTTCTTTCAGAAGATAGTCATAACACTGATCATTCTTAACCCTGTATCTCCTGCATTCAGCTGATTTCAGAATTGATACTTGTCATTACAGAGGAATTTCATTGGTTCAAAATGATTTGGGTTCCCTTTCAATCTGTGGAACTACAGTGCCTCACTGAGAAGAACTGGCACAACTGTCAACATTTGTCTTTATAAAAATGCTGATAGTCAAAAATTATGTTCACTAGGGTTTTTTAAGGGAAGAACAGGAATTAAATCACTAGATAAGAGGTGGCAAATTTTGCCTATCAATTTCTTATTCAAAGGGAGGGAAAAGGTGGCTCATGGTGGTGTACACCTCTAATCCTAGCAACTCGTAAAGCTGAGGCAGGAGCATCACGAGTTCAAAGCCAGCCTCAGCAAATTAGCAAGAGGCCCTAAGGAACTTAGTGAGACCCTGCCTCATAATTTAAAAAAAAAAAAAAATAGAAACAGGGCTGGGGATGTGACTCAGTGGTTAAACACCTGGAGTTCAATCCCTGGGACCAAAAAAGGGAGGAGGGGAGGGGAAAAAAAAGGGAAAAGCGGTTGACTAGATATGACATTAAATAGTTCTTTAAGGCAAAGATTCTCTCCGGAATACATTCCTTTTAACATTTCAAAACTAGGCTCACCTGGAGTCAAGGTGTCTTTCTCAGGTGTTCCCGGCACTGATTGAAGGGATTCAGGAAAGTCAGTGGTGGAAAGCTCAGCTCCAAAGGAACAGGCCAAGTCCCCGGTTTGCCTTTGCTGCCATCTTGTGGCGATTGGGCTACTGGCAACAGGAAGCTCTGCTGACAGGCGCTTCAAAAAGTTGCTCTTGAAGTTAGAATATGTAGTAGTAACTGAATCCAATACCTGTTTAACAACAAAGAAAGCCACAATTTATAGCAAACTCAATGATGCAAAAATAAAAATTCCTTACAAGAGAATTACAAGTGAGTTATCTAATACAACACAGAACATGTGGGTATAAAATATTTTAATTTTTGTGACCTGGGAGAATATTAGATTGTTAGATAGACAGAGGGTGAGTCAGGGAGATCACAAGTCGAAAGCCAGTCTGGTCAACTGAGACCCTTTATCAAAAGGGCTTGGGGAGTAACTGAGTGGTGGAGAGTCCCTCGGTTTAACCTCTAGTGTGGGGGAAGGGGGGAACATACATGGGGCTGGGGCTGTAGCTCAGAGGCAGAGCACTTGCCTAGCATGGGTGAGGCACTGGGTTCAATCCTTAGGATCACATAAAAATGAAACGAATAAAATAAAGGCATGCTGTCCATCTACAACTACAAAAAAATTAAACCCATTATATATTTAGAGCCTCTACTGAAGAATCTGTAGACAAACCAAAATAGTTTAGGAAGTAATTATATAGATTTCTCCATTTTTCCAAATTTTCAGCAGATTAAAGTTAATTTTTAAGACACTGTGGGACCAAACAGAGGATATCTGGGCCTCCGTAAGACTAGCCAAGCAGCTCCTGCCCTTGCAGGTGGAGGAGCCACCATCGCTGAAGATGTAGTTAATTTTGAAAAAAAATTAACTTGCTCAAAGGTTTCCTTGGCATCCTAGAACTTAAATATTCATTTAAAAAAAGATCCTGAGTTGAAAAGGGGGAAATAAGGTCCATTATCCTCTGGCTCAGCTCTGTCACTCTGTCAATCTTGAATGTTTCCTATTTTTGGATCTCCTACCCCATCTTTACCAATATGCTCTCCAACAGCTCCTTCAGGAAAGCATCTCTGACCTTCCATTCCTATCCATTCAAGTTTCATCAGGCAACTTGTTTGGGGCCAAGTAATGGTCCCCAAAGATACCCAGATCCTAGATCCTAGAACTTGCTATTGTCACTTTACATGATAAAGGGACTTTGAACATGTGATTAAGGATTAATCTAAACTGAGATGGGAAGAATAGATCCTAAATTATCTTTTTGAGTCCTGAATGCAATTCCATGTCCTTCTAAGAGGAAGACAGAGGGAGATTTGGCTATACACAGGGAGATGGCAACATGATCACAGAGGCAGAGGCCTGAGTGATAATGCTCCCACGTCAAGAAATGCTGGCAGTCATGGGAATCTGGATAGCAAGGCATGGATCCTCCCCAGGAACCCCTGGGTGAAGCAAGACCCTGCAGGCACCTTGGCTTCTGCCTAGTGAAACTGATCTCAGAACTCTAGCCTCCATAAGAGAATAAATATGCGTTTTAAGCCACCAAGTTTATAGTAATTCATTATAGCAGTTGTAGGGAATCAATGTGCAGCCTGCATTGGACTTCCACAGCTGACCAGGTGTGCCTCCAAAACAGCACCACCACATTATATTATTAACAATAATATTTATCAAGTGCTCAATAAGCAAGAGTGTAGAGCTAAGCGGTGCATCCAAGATTCAGGCCACTGCATACGGTTATACACACATTGCCTCCATGAGTGGCAGCCTTTGGAATATGCAGTGTTCAATCTTCACAATGAAGAAGGACGACCCTGCCAAGGTTTGAACTCTGACAAATCAATCTAATCCCTGTGCTTTGAGCTCCTGGGCTCATCCTCCCACTTTTCTGCTTATTTTTATGTTTCTCCTACTATATTATGCACTCCTGAAGACCAGGGACTTTGTCTTTTACCTTGATAGCTTTGGGGCATAAAATTATTTATTAGCATCTCAGAACTCCATAATGAATAAGTGAATGAATCTCTTCTCTTAGAGACCATTGGTGCTAAAAAGGCACAAGGGATTTAAGAAAGAATCCAGAGGCAAGGAAATAAGGCTAATTTCTTTCTTCTCCATTAATAAGAACAATTTTCAAATTGGATGAGGTAAAACAAACATTTCTCTAGAAACTAGAGACTGATATAAATGAAGCAACAAGATGCATCTGGGCATTTTAAATAAGGGCAAGTCTTTAAAGCAGATAGCCAAATTTATTTATCAAAATGGTTGATTGTTTTAAGTTAAAATATTAAAAGATAGAAATGGGATTCAGAATAAAATGTGAGATCAAAAACCAATAAAATTAAATGTATGGTTCTTTTCACTGTACGAGCAAAAGATGGGAGAGAACCGCTTGCAGGTTAAGACCACCACCACTACAGTATAGGTCAACAGAGTAGTGAAATTGCCTTTTTTAAAAAAGAACAGCATAATTTTAGGAAATATAAGGGGAAAACGGTGTTTGGAACAGTAGCAAGCAAAATCCCACTGTTTCTGGACCAGTCAGAACTCATCTGGAGAACAGTTTCTGGACTCTGAACTGTGATTCAAGAAGGGAGATGGACATGACAGGATTCAAAACCCAAGTTCATTTGGAGGAAAGGAACCACAATCAGGGATCAGAGTGATGACAGTAGCAGAGTATCACCCCAACATATGTGAGGTCCTCCTTACATGAGGACGTTTAATCTAGAAGAAAGAAGACTCAAAAGGAACCGTCTTCGCATATTAAAATGATGCAATTTATGAAAACAAGAAAAACTTACTCTTCATTGCCCCCTATGGCCAAAACAGGACCAATGAATGGGGGAGATAAATTTTTATTCAACACAAAGAACTTTCAAAGAATTAAAGAACAACTTCTCTTAACACTTTGAATATAAAATAAAATTCTCAGTCATCCCACTAGGTATATACTGTTTGTAGTGGTACAGATGAAAATGTTTTAATAGTTCCATACTTTCAATGTAAATTTTTAAGTAATGAATTAAAGTTTCCCTTATTAAAAAAATTAGCAAAATAAGTGAATATATTCAAATAAAGATGTTAAGTAAATAAATTATATGCAATTATAAAAAAATGTCAGAGGACTCATGCAAATGACCACAGCTCAGGAAACACTGCTGTGGATTGTGCTATTTCATCTTCAATGTTTTTAAACTTTTGTTCCAGGATCTATCTCCTGCTGAGGAAATGCCTGTCGCATAGTTTCAAATGACTCAAGTATTTATTAATAGAGAGGAAGAGGAAGATAAGAAAAATAAGACAAAGAAGGGAAAAAGGATGAATGACTCTGTAGTCCAGGCACATGGGTTCAGCTTGTTTACCCTGAGATTCTCATCACACTGACACTGTATCAGGAGGAATTCAGAGCACCAGGGCCAACAAATAAATAGAAAGGAGCCTAGAGAGGTTAAAAATAAGGTCAGGAAGTAACAAAATGAAGCAACTAAGAAAACAGAAACAAATGGATCTATCTAATCTGACACACAAATCATTTAGAGGGTGGGGAAAACCTGGACATTCCAGAGGAGGCATGCTGATGTTGCTGGAGACTGTGAGAACCTCATGACAAAGTCTAAAGCAGCAAAGATGGCCTGTGGGCTCAGGCATAACCCCACCTGTCCTTCCTAACCTCTGAATGTCTGCCCCTGCTGCCACCCACCATCAACCACCCTAGGAGCAGCATTCTGTTCACAAGACATCTCAAATTTAGAGTCTCAAAATTTCTGACCATTTGGATAAGTCAAAAAAAAAAAAATCCTCTTCTTATATTTAAATCCCTAACTGCCTTGGCATCCTATTGGATGGACAATAAAACACAAGCTGAAACTGTCAAGATCCTACAGATGATGATAATGTGCTGTATATTTCAAACAGCTAAAAGAAAGGATTCTGAATGTTTTCACCATAATAAAATGATAAATATTTGAGGAGATAAAAAAAGGTTTACTGATTCAAACATTATACAACATATACATGTATTGAAGCATCACATAGGTAGCCCCTAAATATGAATAATTTTTAAGATTTTTTAATATTTTTAGTTGTAGATGAACACGACACATTTATTTTATTTATTTATTTATATATGGTGCTGAAGATCAAACCCAGTGCCTCATACATGCCAGGCAAGTGTTCTACTATTGACCTACAAGCCCAAGCTAATTTTTAAGTTTTTAAGTATCAGTTTAAAAATAAATTTAAATCAAGGGTTGGGGTTGTGGCTTAGCAGTAGAGCACTTGCCTAGAACATGTGAGGCAGTGAGTTTGAGCCTCAGCACCACATAAAAATGAATGAATAAAATAAAGATATTGTGTCAAACTACAACTAAAAAATCTTTTGAAATAAATAAATACATTTTAAATCAAAACCAACAAGACCATTTTCAGGTGGGAGGTACTATTGTGCTCCTTTGCCAATGCCCACCACGGGGGCTCCAGGGCGTCTTTAGCATTCTTCCCTTTTCTTGCATCTCACTGGCAAAGGCTGCCTTCATTGAAACTATCTTCTCTTGACTTGTTGCTCTGCAGACCTCCTGGGACACCTTCCAGATAACTTCAGTACACATGGACAAATTTTTTGCTGTTGTTTTCCTCTTTCTCCCCTTTTTAAGCTCCTACAGTGATTTCTTATAAAACTAAATGTCTCCAGATGAATAAAACCCCTTCACCAAAGTACTACAGCAATCTTGCCTCCTGTTTTCTTCTAAACGTATTTTATCAGTTACAAAGAAATGCTTGAATACAAAAGAAATAATTTGAGTTATGAAGTTGAAAGTCCTAAACACCACTCCATTCACGAGTTCTGTGATCTTGGCTGAGTTATTACCTTCTTCCTATATCAAATGATTATTACAAGGGAAATAATGTGTATACTAAAGGAGATTACATACAGTATAAAGCTCATAAGGAAAATAAACTTTGTGCAAGGGTCAATATAAAGCTAAAACATAAGTTATTTATCACTCACTTATTTTCTGCCTTATAATTCTTCCTTGTTTCATGTATGCTCTCATATTTCCAAAATTGCTTTTAGTTTGTAAGGGCCAGCTCATTCACTAACACTTTATTTATATCCTCTACAAAGCCTGAGTTGGTTAGCTGAGTCAATTGCTTTATCCCACTGTGGACTCCATGTCTTC